AAAGAACATCACTTTTGAAATGACTCAACATCACATAAAGATGATTCCTTTCTTCCTGTCTTTGACAATGCCATGTTGCTGTCGACGGGTGAGGTTCATAGGGTCCGGCAGACTTGGAAGGGCCTCAGGTCCAAACTCACGATGAACCGTAAGTACGAAGGAAGAACATGGGAATGGAACCCAGGCAAGAAACTCCCACTCCCAGAGACATATCCCCCTCAGAAAGGCGTGGCTCCGTGCGCTCCTCGCTGGTCGCTGGCAGGGCAGCTGGGGCTGGCTCCTGGGCCACCTCAGCTACCGTAGCCTTGGGCTGTGGTGGTGGGGCTGGCAACTGGGCCACCTCAGCAAGCCAGGCATCAGGCCTTGGATTCTCAGTGGCTGGCAGGGTTGGGTCCAAATCAGCTACTGGGGCGTGAGGTCTAGAGTTGTCAGCTGGATGGTTTAGGCTCAACATCCTCCTCACCGATGATAATCTGAGTGTCCGCATTGTGAGGGTCATTGGCATTCCTTAGACAATGGGGATAGGTAATCTAGGAGGGCATGACCCATGAACTGCAAGAAAATGGACATCATAGGTGATCTAGGGCTCGAAGGCAAGCCCCCCAACAGCTTCTGTATCAGCTCAAGACGATGCGTTGCAGCAGCTATCTGGGCTTGCCTCTCTGCATCCTCAAGTACTGCAGAAGTGTCCTTCCAACGCAGGAAATGAGAGCTCATTGTCATCCAGAGGTATTAGGGGATGATGAAGGGTTTTAAATGTGGGGATGCCAGGTACTTCAAATATCTCAAAAGAAATTTAGTAGTAGACTCTGGTAGCATGCCAGTCCTCGTGGCTCCCTGCAAGCGACAAGTCATTCATGCGCTCACAAAGTGATGGGCAAGTTCCCAAGGATTCGTAGGAAAGGCTGCTTGACGTGAGGAGTGGTTTGTTCTGCGGGGTTGCAATTGGCCTGGGCTGGGGATTCTTCGGGATTTCGTCAGAGTTTGGCTTCGGTCCCGGGCACTCATCATCAGAGTCAATTATCGAGACAGGGTCAGTTGTTGAGGGAATGGGAAGAGCAGGGACCTCCATTCCATTCGGCTCACTGGAAACCCTCGCCTCAACCAGGACACCATCCAAACCACCATCTCCTGCCTCATCCCCATCCCAATCCTCCTCCTCCTCACCCTCATCCTCATCTTCATCATGATCTTCCTCAGTTTCCTCTTCCCCTTCTGAAGGTGCTGGGCCGTCGGCAGCGGGGGCAGGGCCACCTTCGGATTTGCCCGACAAGGCCTGCCAGCAGAGGGAGGTAGCTTACTTATTGGGATAAATTTTACGTAGCTGCATCCCGCCACATCCGGCCTCAGGATCATCCGGACTGCAAAGCTCAAAGCCCAACGCTGATAAAAGCTCGACGAAGTCGGGGTCCTTAGTTGACACCACGCCCATGGGAGCCCCTGAATTTTGAAATGTTTTTGATAGGCTTGATATGATAAAACAAGTATAGCCAAGATTCTGTTGGAGGTTTGATCTTGGTCACT